AGTATGGGAGATGAAACTCTGGGAAAAGGGGTTTGGGTTGGAAAGGAACTTGAACGGTGAAGGTTTTTCCTCTTTGCTAGGGGAAAGACAACCCCAAAGGGTTGCCCCTGGGGCCTGGGCAGGAGAAGAGAGATGAGCAACCAGAATCCATTTTCCCAGCTCTTAACACCTGGCTCCAAGTGATGAAGGTGAGTGTGGGCTCCGGGGAGCTGGGCTGGACCTGAGCAGAGATGGGAGTCTTGGCTTTTGGAGTTATTTCTGCAGGAAAAGACACAGAGGGACTGAGGGTTGGGTCCTGCCAGAGCTGAGAGAACACGGCTCTTCTCCAGAAGCAGCCAAAAGCTCTGCCTGGGTGAGGGATGACTTTTTAATTCCCGTGTCTTACAGGAGGCAGACGGTCAGCAGCAGCTGGGAGAGGAGAAGAAGCCCAAACCACCCGCAGCTGCGAGTGCTGCCCCTGGCACGTGGCTGAGCAAAGCCGTGAAGGTGAGTCCTGGCGCCGGCAGAGCCCGCGGATGGCCCCCGCCAGCTGGGGCTCATCAGCCCCCGGCGCCACCGCAGAGCTCGGCACGGGGAACCCGAAGGAAAAACAAGTGGTTTGTGAGGGGGGGGGGGAGGGGAAGGTGTGGCGGAAAGATGCTGGAAGCGACCACAGGATGGCAGCAGGTCCTGAGGCGATTTCCCACCGAGAGCGACATCCCCGGGCAGCCTGGCTGTGCCAGCTGGAGCTGCGGAACCTTCTGCCGGGAGAGAGGCGGGAGAGGCTGCCGGAGTTGGGCTCGAGCGCTGCCTCGGCCGGGAATCTGCCTTGGAGCTGCGGGCTCCATCCTGGCTCGTGTCAGAGCTCCAGGGAGGGAAAGCCGAACAGAACATGGGGAGAGGTTTGAGGAGTGTGGGAACACTGAGTGCTGAGACACACACACAGGGTACTCTTCCCAGGTTTTTCCACAGAAAACAGGAGGGGATGAGGGGTTATGAGGTGTCAAGGCAGGGAGCCCGGTGTTGGTACAGGATTTGAGCACTTTGGGGTTCTGAGGGCTGTCCCCTCTGGGTCTGGTGTCCATCCTGTCCAACCAGGCTGGCTGTCCTGCCCCAGGGAAGTGCTGCTTCCTCTGCTCATCCCTGCTCTCTCTCCACAGTTCCAGAAGTCCCTCTCCACGTCCTGCCTCATGGCCCCGAAGGGCGTGCAGGGACCTGGATCCCCCCCAGCTGATGAGAACGACTACGGGCTGGATCTGAACAGCGACGACTCCACGGACGACGAGAACGACCCTCGGAAGCCCATCCCTGCCTGGGCTGATGGTAGGTGCCAGCTCTGGGCTCCTTTTCCTTCCCAGCCTCACTTGGAGCCATCCCAAGGCACAGTCCAGGAGTTTATGTGCAGCTCCAGCAGCGCTGGCTCCGTGTGCTGAGGGATCAGCGCCACTTCCTGCGAGGGCTGAGGCGAAACCGGAGTTCCCCCCACCTGCCTCTGGTCCCTGGGTGGGGGGAAGGAAGGGGGACACAGCCCCCATTCCCCAAGGAAAGAGCAATGCCCGGCCCGTGGGGTGAAGCAGGGCACGTCCACATGTGTGATGTGTCATTCCCCCAGGGGCACAGCTACACCAGGCCATCCTGCACCAGTACTACCACCCTGTGGACGTGGATGCGCTTTTTGGGGCCATCCCCAGCCCCCAGCTGGAGCACATCTTCTACAAGAGCAAGCCCCGCTACTTCAAGCGCACCAGCTCGGCCGTGTGGCACTCACCGCCCGGTCCCAGCCCCTCCTACATCCCCCAGAACTGAGCCGAGAAGACAGGAAAGGGTGTTTTAGGGCACCCATGTGTGTTTTACTTATCCTGTATTTACAGATTTAACCTTTATTTTTTAAATTTTATTTTTTTTTAGTTACAAAAATAAAATATTTCATTAAATCCAGCATTCTCTGTGTCTATTTTCTTCTGCTTGGTAGCTGATTCCAGACTGATAACTGTGTGGGCCACTCACTTCAGAGGTGACTCGGTGACCCCTGAGGGCCCCTTCCAACTCAGAATCTTCCCTGATTCTGACTTAACTGTGGTTTCTGCAAGGCAAAATGCAGAGAAATGTTATGCCCTGCTTCCTATTCCCTCAGGATCTTCCCTCACACAAGAAAGCTTGGAAATTGCTGTAGGGAAGACTAGATTCTTTTAGTCACCCTGAGGGGACAGTGTTTTCACAACCTTATTTCTACATGTTTACTATATTTATGTACATCTCTATGTTTGTATATAGACAAACATCTCTTAGATGTCTATACATATGTATAATCTCTATATTTACCATCCCTATTTATTATGTGCGAAGTCCTCTTCCTTCAAGAATTGTTGTGCCCACTTAGTACCTGGAGCCAGAACCTTTTTTCCTGCTGTTGGAAAAACTCTCCTTGGACAAGTGAAGCAGTGGCTAATGCCTCCTCACCCTTGTCTTCTAATGGAAAAAGGAAGCCTAGGCTTCTTCTTTTTTTGAGTCCTTTTTTCCCTAGGAGACTTCAGTGTATGGCCAGGCTTGAGCAGGAGGTGGGTTTTTTGGGAATGGGGGCTTGGGAAGGGTAAGGGGGATGTGATTGTTCCCCGGGGGGCCCCTGCCTAGGACCAACAGCTTTGACTTCTCTTCCACAGCAGAGCTACGACCATCCCTCTCCTTCCCTCCTCCTCTCACAAGACTGAACACACAGGGATTGACTGGAGCGGTGATGAACTGCAAGAGATAAGGCCCTGGCTGTAAGGCAGATTTATGGAGCCAGAATCCTTGGAGCCACCCCGGCTCCTGGGGACCTGCAGGAGCACCTGCCTCTGCAAAAATGGGCTGGTAGGGCTTGGAGCGCTCACCCCAACAGCCAGTGCATGCCCAAGGGGGCTTTTGTCCCAGGAGTGCTGTTTGGCTGGGGCTAGGATAGCGCAAGGGCTCTGTGGGCGAGGTGGGGAGGGCAGCCAAGATCCTTCCCGCCCCGGAGGTGAACACCCCTGGCTCCCTCAGGGATGCTGCTCTGCTCTGCGGCGTTCATGTGGCTGTGTCCGCAGGGGGTTTGGCGAGGCGGGACGGGAACCTTTGCTGCAGCCCAGCCCCAGTCGGGACAACTTCCTGGTTAATTTGCTGCCAACAGAGCCTGGAACACCGGGGGAGTGGAAAAAACCTCGGCGCCAACAGCTGCTGGGAGGGAGCTGCTGTCAGCTCCGGCCTGAGCGCTAATGAGGTGTCTGCGCTGCAGCTGGTTCCGGGGACTGCGCGCAGCTCCCGCAGCTCCTGCAGCCCCTTGGGAATGCGAGCCTCGAGCTCCTGGAGCTCCCAAGAGCTCCCCGGGAGCCTGAGCCTGGAGCAGTGCCGGTTAATGCCACCCCAGGGGGGGCGGCTGTGCCGTCTGTCTGCCAGCACCGTGCCAGGGAGGATCCATCCCGTGGGATGTGGGGAGCAAAAGGTTCCCAAGCACCGAGATCAGGGCTGCTGGTGCCAGCTGGGAAAAGGAGCAGCTCCGTGAAATCAGCAGGAGATAATTAAGCAGGGATCCCCCAGGCTTGGGCTGGCTGGATGTGGATGTGCCTCCTTCTCAGAAATGCCAGAGCCGTGGTGTTGCCATATTCCCAGAGCAAACTGTGGGCATTCCTGCGATCCCACAGGGCCATTCGCCAGTGGGAGGGGGCGGGTGGCTGAACCCGCTGCACTCCCCCAAACAGCTGAAACAGTGTTTCAGCTCACATGGAGCAAAACAATCTATGTCAACCTGAGGCATTTTCCGGGACTCTGAGCACAGCAGGGAGACACGAGAGTGCTGGTGCTTCCCTTGGATCCCAGCCCTCTCTTTGGATCCCAGCTCCCTGTGGATCCCAGCTGCCTCGTTTCTCCCCTCTGCTGACACGTCATCTGTTTCTGTTTTCAGCACCCGGGAACCCCTGATTCACCCCATCCCACGGGGATGATTCCCAGGGCCGGGAGAGTGCGGGAGGGCTGGAGACCGGGGCGGGGAGGGGGCAGGATGCCACCCTTCTTGCTGCTCCTCCCCTGCCGGGTGTCTGGGCCGTGCGGGTGTGGGTCCCCCGGCCTGGGCAGGGGCTCCCTGGGGTGGGGCCATCTCCGCCCGCCGCCGTCTCCCTGGCTCGGCGGCTCCGCATCCCGCTCTCCTGTTGCTCAGAGATGTGGAGGCAGTTGCTAAGAGACACCGACACGTCAGTATCTGGCCCTAAGGAAAAAAAGAGAAAAAAAAAAAAAAAGAGACAGGGAAAGAGAGAGACAAGGGAGGACGAGGAGGAGGAGGGGAGGAAAGAGGTGGGGAAAGACCTGCTCCCATCGCCAGGCTCGCAGCAGCCTTGGCCACCGCTGCCGGAGCCCTGCTCCCGACTTTGCGGCCTCTGGGGTGTGCGTGGCCGCTGGGGACCCCCCCATCACTCCCTGGAGCCCCCAACATCACCATCCAGGACCCTCACATCACCGCAGGGAGCCAGGCCCTGCTACCCCCTGGCCAGTGAGTACCCCGGGGGGCCCCAGCCCTGCCGGAGGGGTTGGGAGGCTGTCGGGATGGGGATGGCCGGGGTAAGGCGGGGTGGTGGGAGAGGATGGAGCTGAGTGTGGGCGAGGGAGGATGGAGCAGATGTGGTCAGGTGGTGGAGGGTGAGATCAGGCCTGGGGGGACCCCGGGTGGGTCCTGGGCATGGAGGTCTCTTCCGAGGGGGGAGGTGGGGAGGATGCTCCCAGCACTAGGCTGAGCTGGCAGTGGCGTGGGGCTGACAGGAGGTTGGCGGGAGGCTGTGGAGCAGCACCTCCACTCTGCCCACCCCCAGCCACGATGGGCTGGCCAAGGTCAGAGGGGCTGGAGGGCTCTGTTCTGGCAGAAATCCCCAAGGGGGCATTGGAGGAGCAAGGGGACCGTGGCACGAGAGGCATGGGGAGGGCGTGGGTGCCCCACGGGTCACTCCATCTGCACCAGCTGCGGCCTTCCCAGCAGGGGCATGTGGCCGGCACGGCTTCCTTCCGCTCCTCTTCCTCGCAGGCAACTGGTGACGGCCCCGCCGGTGCCCCTGGCGAGGTTCGCGTGCCCAACGGATGCCACCAGGATGGCGGGAGCATTGCTGTGACCGCTGCCAACCGGGCCCCGCGACCGGCCACCAGCAGAGCCGTCGGCGTGAGCGGGCGGGCAGGATGGCCTCCGGCGCCCCGTGAGCGCTGGGGCCACGAGGCCATGCTGCTGGGCCCCTGGCTGGTGGCGGCGGCGGTGGTGGCGGCGGCTGGCGCGGGCTGCCCGGTGCTGTGCAGCTGCCGCGGGCAGGCGGTGGACTGCAGTGGGCAGCGGCTCTTCTCCGTGCCCCCCGAGCTGCCGCTGGACACTGGGAACCTGAGCCTGGCGCACAACCACATCACCAGCATCCCGCCGGGGTACCTGGGCTGCTACGGGCAGCTGCGCGCCCTCGACCTGCGCAACAACTCGCTGGCGGCGCTGCCGGTCGGGCTGTTCCGCGGTGCCCGGCGCCTGGCGCACCTGGACCTCAGCTACAACAACTTCAGCCTGGTGCCCGCCGACATGTTCCGCGAGGCCAGTGGACTCCTGCGCCTCGACCTCAGCCACAACCCGGGGCTGCGCCGCGTCCACCCCCAGGCCTTCCGCGGGCTGGCCCAGCTGCGCGAGCTTGACCTGAGCTACGGTGGGCTGGCAGCCATCAGCCTTGATGCCCTCGAGGGGCTGCCCGGGCTGGTGGGGCTGCGCCTGGGGGGCAACCCCTGGCTCTGCGGCTGCTCCATGGAACCCCTCCTCAAGTGGCTGCGGGGCCGCATCCAGCGCTGCGCCTCGGGTAGGTGCTGCTGGACCCTCCGCCCCCTGTCCCCGTCCCGGGGGCTGGCAACCAGTCTAAAGCCGTGCCCCCCATCCCGCAGATTCGCAGCAGGCCGAGTGCTGGGCCCCCCCTGAGGTGGCGGGGGCCCCCCTGCTCTCGCTGACGGAGGAGAGTTTCCAGGCCTGCCACCTCACGCTGACGCTGGACGACTATCTCTTCATCGCCTTCGTCGGCTTCGTCGTCTCCATCGCCTCGGTGGCCACCAACTTCCTGCTGGGCATCACGGCCAACTGCTGCCACCGCTGGAGCAAGGCCAGCGAGGATGAGGATGTCTAGGTACCACTGCCGCCTCCGCCACCGATGGACCCCCGCCCTGGCCACCCCCCGACCCGGCCACCCCCGCAGGGACACCGGACTGTGCCTTGTCCTCGTCCCCTCCTGCCACCCCCTGCGCCAGGGTGGCCCTTGAGACACCGGGGACACCAGGGGACAGACCTGCTTCCTTTTGCCCTAAAATGGGGAGGTTTTACCCCCCCGCCCCATCACCGTGAGCTTGGACCCCCTCCTGTTCCCACTGCCCAGGACTGATGGAGACAGTGGCTTGGGGGTCCCAAGGAAGCAACTCCCCAGCTCTGCCTGGGAGAGACCAGAACACCCCAGAAGCTGTGTGTGCCTGGGGAGGCTGAGGAAGTCCCTGCTTGCAGCCCCAAAGCAGCACTGCCGGAGTCCCCCAG